GGATCGCGCTCCTCTGGCTCCACCGACGGGACCCGCCCCCCCCCCCCGCCCCGCCGCTGCCCCAAGACCCGCCCCCCCTCCCAGGACCAACTCAGCAGGTGGCAGCGGAGGCCACGGGCCGCCTGGGGACTGCCGGGGGGGGGGGGGGGGGGGGGGACCCGGGGGGCCGCCCCGGGGGGCGGGGCCCGTCGGTGGAGCCAGAGGAGCGCGATCCGGCGTCGGCGCCTGTCCCCGCCCGGCTGCGCGATGGGTGCTGGCCCGGACTTCTGGCCCAGGCGGAGGGCAGTGGGCCCAGGGACACCCCTGAGAAGCCCCAGCCGGGTGGTCACCGCCTCACGCTGGAGCTGCCTGTTGGAGGAGGCGCTGCGAAGGCAAAACCTCCCAGAGAGTTTCCTTTCTGGAAACTTGGAACCAGCCCCTTGATGACATTTTCCAGGGGAGGGGGTAGGGGCCCTGACACTATTTGTGTAATGACGTCAGCTCCTGGGAAGGGCCTGGGGCATGGAATGCAGGTTTGCACAGGCAGTTGGGCCGGGCTGGGGGAAGGGGCTTGCCCCGGGAAGGCCAGGGTTTGCGGGCTCAGCAAGGTCCCAGGGTGCCCGAGCCTCGGGCAGGCAGTGGCAGGGATGAGTGGGTTCCTGTGGGCCAGGGAAGCCGTGACCACTTCCCGTTGCTGCCCTCACTCCTGGGTCCCTCGGGAAAGGGACAGAGGCTGCTGGACCAAGAATGCTGGCTGCAGCTACCCCCGCCCTGGGGCTGACCCCTCCAGCCAGGCAGCACCTCGCCTGCTCCTTTCCGGCTGCCCCTTCTTTGTGGAGGCCTCCCATGTCCCCTGGTGTGGCCAGGCCCCCTTTCCATAGCTTTCTGGAGACACTGTCCCCAAACAGGCGGCCCCAGACCTTTGGCCCTTTGGCTGGCCCGTCGCGGGGCCCTGGGGCCCCCTGCCGCCCTGCCTCGGAGCTCTCTGCACTGCCCCGGGGCCTCCGGCCCACGTCCTCACACCCGGCACACTGAATTAGAGGCCTGGCTCCTCTCTCAGTCAGGAAATTGGTTTCATTTTCCCTGCCGGAGCTCGGCGGCTAGCTAGGGTCATACCAAGTATGAAGCTTGGCCCCTCGCGGTCTGGCTTCCCTCCGCCTCCCCCCGCTTCGGCCCGCAGCTCGGCGGCCTTTTACTGAGCACCTGCTCTGTGCCAGGCACTTTACCCACGTGATCTCACATAAGCCTCATGACAACCCTGAGACAGGGATTCTCACCCCACCTCTGCCAGCGAGGACACTGAAGCCCCTGTGCTCAAGGTCACAGGCAAATAAGAGGCCGAGCCGGGGTCAGACTCCAGAGCCGGGCCTTCTGGCCACACTGCCCCTCACTGCTGCTGCAGCCCGCCCACCCCCTCGGTTCCCGCGGCTGCGTCGCCGCTGAGACACTGGCCCTGGTGACTGCCTCTAGCCTGGGGAATAGAAGTCAGGGTGGGGACGGGGACCGGGTGGGGCGGGGGATGGACACAGCATCTTAAGAGGTGGCGGCAAGAGTGGGTGAGGCAGGGCGTAAACTCGCCACAGGTCCAAGAAGGCAGGCCTTGGCTAACGCTAAAACGCCGTAGGAAGGACACTCGGCCGCCTGGGAGCGTTTGGAGGGCTTCCAGGACAGACCGGGAGAGATGCCTAAGGGGGCAGGGAGAAGACAGCGCTGCTTGGGAAGGAATATCCAGGCCCAAGGCTGGGTGCACAGGGACCCCTCCAAGTGGCCAGCCCTTCTCCAGGCCCCAGGAGGTTTGCGAGCGCCATGAGCATCTCTTAATTGCTGGGCCCCGTCCTTGAAAGGGCCTGGTCTCATTTCTGCTCACACTGGCCTGGCTTCTTCAGCCTGCCCAGAAGGGCTGTGCCCTGCTGGGCCTGAGTGTCTCCCCGCGTCCACTGGAGGGGCTGGCACTGGTGGTCTCCGAGGCCCCCTCAGCTCTGGAGCCAGCGGCCTGCCAAGTGACAAGTGACAAGTGACAAGGCCTCTTGCTTTAAATTCCACCAGCTTCCAGCCTCACCCTGGGCTCAGCACCCCGAGGGCGCAGGCTGTCCCCATCCCCACCGTGGCCGGGGCCCCAGAGCAGTGGGGTGGGGGTGAGGACCCCGTTCGGGAGTTCAGTCATCCCAGCCTGCCTCGCCCATCTCGAGGACCCAGCCCTCGGCTCCTCGGATCCCAGCCACCCACTTCAGCAGCGAGGGCCCATCCTGGGGAAAGCATCTTCTTCCCGCCCGCCCCCCTCCCTGGGAGGAGACGGAAGGAGGAACGGAGGCGGTCCGGTTTGTACAGTTAGGAACGGATGTAAAATGGAGCTAGCTTTTGGTTTTGAAGAGTGTATTAACCAGAATTGTGATATGTAGGTGTTCGAAGAAAAACATACGAGATTAGTTTTTAAAACGAAAACAGACTGCCCACCTGTCCTTTTTCCTAGCTGCGGGGTGGTCTGGAGCCCCTGACAGCAGAGTGCCTGCTTGACTGACACCCAGTAACACTAAAGATTTTGGGGGTGGAAGGGAGGGGGAAGGAGAGGGGCAGCCCCAGGTGCCCACAGATGGGAAGGAGGGAGGGAGGGATGCCTGTGGTGCAAGCTAGGGCGGCTGGGGGCCGCCCCAAGGCCCCTCACGTCCCCCTGGAGCTCTGCCTCCATGGTAGCATGCAGGAAACGGGTACAGACTCCCTCGGATGGGCCCCAGATGGGAATGAGACTGAGAAATGTCAGGGTCTCAACACTTGAAGGAAGGCCCCTATGCCCCCGAGAGAGAGACTGGCGAGTGGACGATCTAGACTCACGGATGGGGTCAGTGGGCCACCGGTCATGGGCACAGCCACACCATACCCTAGCGGTATCCAAATGTGTATTCGGGGGGCCTCGCCCCCCGCCCCCGGCCAAAACCAAGCCAGCCCCACTCCCGTGTCATCAGACTTCTCTTCGCTCTGCTCCCAAAGGCACTTCCATCCCCTCTCCCCCCAGCTCCCTCCTGCGTTTCTGAGTTCTGTTCACTCAGAATTGTAAATGTTTAGTTGTGACCATGACATATTGTTTGGGTCAGTGTTTCTTTCCAATGCATACTAATATATTATGGTTATTATATATGAATATATTTAATGACTTGGAAAAAGTTGTGGATTTTCTTTTTTTTTTTTTTTTTTTTTTTTTTTTTTTTTTTTGGTTAGAGTTGTAATGGACCCAGATGGAACTTGTAATGTGGGCCCCACATGATAGAACTAAGTTCAGATATCATTTAAATAAACTCTTGTACACTCTTCACTGTCTCCTCGTCTTCATTGGAGGCCTGAGCGTGCCGTGGGGAGAGCAGAGTGAGTCTTCAGGCAACTCTTAAGGAATATTGCTTCTGCTCTTACAACTCCCCAGCGACAGAGCCCTAACTACCCCAAAAAGACAGGAAAGGGGCCGCTTTGCTTGCAAAGTCCTAGGGTTTGCCGGCTCTGCGATTTAGAGCAAAAAGCCTCCAGGATGGGACCATGTGGATTTCAGCCCCCCAGGAACCGTCCCTGGGATCCAGCCTTGACATTCCCCGGGGGGGGGGGGTCCAGGTCAGGGGCACCCCAGGGGGCAGCGAAAAGAGGTGTCCTCGCACACCTTTGAACTTCCCCTTCTGATTCAGAACCTGCAAGTAGTTTTTGCCTTTCACAGAATTCGTGTCTTCTGCTCAAAGCCAAGAAGAGACTCCGGGGGAAAGCCAACAGGGTTGGGGAAACTCAGTGGGTTTCAAGCCACTGCTAAAGGCTTCGTGCGGGGCAGGCCCCGGGAGCTGAGCTCACTGGGTTTCTGGGAGGCTATATTTAAACCTCCAAATGGTCGCGCTTTCTTTATTAAATAAACAATTCAGTCATTAGGAACCCGTTGCGTTGCCATGCAAAGTGGGGGGCCTGATCGTCACCAGGAAGCTATAATTTCTGCACCCAGCTGTTTCGGAGATAGGTCTCAGCGATGGGCCTAGTCTGGCCCTGGAAGGCCCGGAAAGCCCTTTCCTTGAGGCTTGGAGAGGTGACAGAGATGCCTTGAGCTTCTCCTCAGGAAGAACCAGGGCCAGCCCAGCTGTCACGGGGGTCTAGCTCTGAGAGATGGGAGCCGTGTTCTCGGAACCAGGGGTGAAAGCCGGGCCAGCCATGATCTCCGGTGTCCTCACCAGCTCGGGAGTGAGTCCCCGCTGGGGTGGCAATGCCTGGACAGGCCGAGGAGAGAGGAAGCCCCGGGGGTGGGGGTGGGGGTGGGGGTGGGGCATCTGCAGACCGAAGACCCTCCGAGTTGCTGGTGCTGAGGTGTGTGCTGCATGCACGGGCTGCATGCTCACCTTGGATCATCCCAGGTCAGGGGTCCAGTTCTCAAGGATTTTCGTGAT